TTTGGGGAGAAACCAAGGTGGCTTTCTGCCACAGGGGGCTGGCTGGAATGCAGGTGAATCGTATGAAAATAGGTGGTACATTGTTAAACAGGCAGGTGGCATTTATTCCTCTCCAGGCATCCAGAACACATTTGGCAGTCCCCATTATTTGGTGCTTTTTTTTTTGACCGTAAACACATTCCTATGATTTTGTCAGAAAAAACGGCTAACATTTCAGTCAAGTGTTGGCATACTCCCTTTCTTTCTTTTTCCATTTTTTTAACCACAAAATAATAATAGCTCTAATAGGAAAACTTATCTAGGTTGTTATCCAAAGGAAATAGCTTGTGGGTCCCTGCCTCTTAAATCAAGAGCATTTATACCGCTATTCTGGTCAGTAACGAAACCCCTCAGTTTTTCTTCAGCTGTTGGTTTATATCTGATGCAAAGTCCCTAAACACCTCAAGAGTCTGGTTATCATTTGCTTAGACACATGTGAAGCCTCAGATGTTAATGGACTTGTGGTTTGCAAATCACATCTTCTGTTACATTAGCAAGCCAATTTTCCTGCAGCTTTGACTTTTCATCTCTCCATTTCTGCCCATCCTTTATTTCTGTACGTTATTATCAAGGACTTGCATCTGTAACCTTATTTTAAGGCATGCACTATGAAAGTAATTGGTACACACCTGACACTTTTTGACAATTCAAATTTTTAACCTGGAAGGTTAATTTCCCGTGTCAGTAGACTAAAACTTGGTCACCCAAAATGTTTTAGCTAGGCAACAACCCTACCCCATCTATAAGGTTGAGGTGGCATGTATCCTCATAAGAAATTTCACCTTCTGTTGGTCTGAAGATTATTCTGTCTATAAATGTTTCAGAAAGCTTTTTTGAGCTATAAACCTGGCAGTGAATTGAGGCAGTAAAATGTAATCAGAATTTTCACTGTCAACTTTGAGGTAAAAGATGTACCTTTAAGTGATCGTCACAAAAGAAAAACTTGTGATTTAATACCAAGCAATGCTGAAATCAGTGGAGGCTTTCTTTTTGATATATTTATCGTACAAAAGGTGCAAAAGCATAACTGATCTCTCTCTGATTCCTCACTGTGAAAGGACACAGTTACCAACTCAAAAATACACCCTGAGGGAAACCAGAACAATTTTAAATATCTTGTTTTTCAAATTTCCTGCTTTCTCTGGACATTGGTTTGGCAGCTGCCAGGTGATTTTGGGCTTACTTGCAATAGACTGTTTGCTGGTTCTTTCTGGATTTAATTCACTGGCTCTTATGACCATACTGTGAGACGATTCTAGGACTCTGAAAAAAATCTGAAGGAACTGAGTCCTTAACTGCCCCCATCAGAGGTTTTATAATATGCCTATTTCATTTAGTCCAACCGAGTAGATAATGCCTTCCGCTATACATACAGCAGGAAAAAAAACAACCCAAAACCGAGGGCCAGAAACAAAGCTATGTACAGAAATGTGAAAGAATGACTCGCAACACATTGCCAGTACAACCACTTTTCCAATATGCATCTATCACACAAAAGTTATAAACAAAACCTACTTACAGCCCCTGATCAACAAATGAAAACGTGAGCCATAGACCAAGGTACAGGTGGCGGGTTTTCTGAATTTTCAGCTCACGGGGAAGTTAATGCCTAAATATCCTGTAAAATGGAAACTCTGGGGAAAGAAACCTGTTCTAGAAACATCACCACAATGTGGTAAAATCCCTCACTATTCAGTAGCTTTCCAGAAATCAATAAGCATTACATCAGTATCATCAGAACTAAAGACCTGGAAGATCTGACCGAGGCTGAGGCAGTCCAAAGTGGAGGGTGGGCGTTCGGTCACTTGGTAGAGCTGCCTCAGAACCGTGGACTCAGAACTCCCTGGTTCCAAATACGTCCCTATGGCAGGGCTGCTCCGAAGTCACAGGCCCTTAGAGCCCATCCCTAGAAGTACTGAGCGCTCCTTGGTTTTCAGGACCTAGATCTTCTGAGTGCCCTGGTAAGAGGGACCCTGGCTCCCAGCTCTGTGGCAGGGAACCCAGAGATCCTGTGGCAATCTGTGTAGTTGTACTATTATGTCTGACTGAGAACTTCTAGGTTCCCAGATGCATGGCATGTACCCCTCAGAGCTTTTGGGCTCCTGGCTGCATGGCAGGGATCCCAGGACCCTGGTATCCTGTGGTTCCCAGAGCTCTACAGCTAGATCCCTCTGTAGATCTACTGGTCCTAAGATCCCTGGCTCAAGCTGGACTCCTCGGGGGCTCTAGGGTCTCTGTCACACGGAAAGACACCTGGACCCTGACACCCCAGCTAGAGTGGGTCTCCAAGGTCTTACAGGTTTCTGGTTCTATAGAAGGGGGCCGGAAAGCTTTGGGGTCCCTAACCTTGGGACAAACTACATCACTAGGCTTTCCCAAAGCCTAGGGCCGCCAGCAGCTCAGTAGGAAGCCAGGTAGAGTATTTCTATCAGAACTTTGCCTATAATTCAAAGAAATTCCATTGAAACAATCCACTTCAGGATGAAGTCAACAATGCAGCTAGGGATAAAGTTAGATTAAAAAAAAATGTATGTTCATGAGCATGGTCAGAGTACTTACATCAAATTCAATAGTTCCAGAAAAAAATAAAAATATTCAGTGCAAGGAAGAAAAGCATAGGGACCTGGAAACTATGCAATGCATCAAGGAATCCATTTCTAACAGAGGTAAATTTTTAGATGAGGCACTCAGTTTACCTGGTTAGGATCTATAATCCTTTGAGTATTACTCTTTTACCATTACCCAGCTTTTGTTTCCCTCCAAATAGTGAGACATAACATTCAAGTTTGATTCAGTAGTGCATACTATATTGTGCACATTTTATTAAGGATTTTGACAATCAAATCCCTTTTAAATTGAGAATGGCATATAAAATAAAGTTACCTCATGGAAATGACATCCACACTTTCCTTGCAGAAATTCTTTATATCGTCCCATTGTAAGGATGAAAGTGTCAACCACTTCATAGCCATATCTTTTTGCAGTGTCC